ATGCTTCCTTTTGACTTTCTCAAAGTACCAGGTACCGTTGTCTTCCGTGAAGCGGAAGATTCCAGGGACCTGGGGTTGATCCTTCCCAGAAATCAGCCTCAGTGGCTGCCACATCTGGTAGGCACCACCAAAACCGGCATCTACTATGTAGGAATTTCCCTGGATCACCACCTTCAGCAGGATATGGTTTGATTCTGGGGAGACAGGGATTTGGGGAGCTCACTGTGTCTCTATGAAGTACGCTTTGAACATGCAGAATAGCAGCAGCTTTTATTCCCCATAAATTGCTAGTTATAGAAAGCTGCATGTACTGCATACCAAGTGAAAAATGGTTCGGTGAGTTACTGTGTTTTTAAAAGCCTTAGCTGCAAAATATTAGCACATAAAAATAATCAGGACAACTGCAGTGATTAATGACATTTTTTACTTTGGGAATACACACTGTAATTTGAGGGGGGGGAAACGTCTGAATAATTCTACCACACAATGCTTGATTTTTTTTTTATTATTATTTAACTGTAAATCACTTATATAATTTACTAAATTATAAGTGCATAGTTTTAATGCTTCCAAGATTTGTACATGAAGGAACATCAAGTATCTTCTCAGAGGGCGAAGTGATCACATTTGAGTAATTTCTCCTACTCAAAATCTTAGCCTTTAGGTATGTGATTAAGATTCATCGTTTCTCCTTATATCAATATAATTTGTATCGCTGCAAACACATCCTCAGTAGAACAGATATGTTTCAGAAAAATAATTCAGTGCCTGTTTTGGGGTTCAACCATAATAATTAATGTGCAATAACACTCAGAGTGATGGGGGGAACGTGGATTCCCAGCAATCTGCTGCTGGCTGGTAGCAAACAAAATGCTCAGCAACTGCTTACAGTTCAAAGAAATACTGCTTTTTGGTTATGTCACCAAGAGAACAGGAGCCATGTAAAGAACTGTCACTAATATTTCTTATCATCTGTTTTAGGGCCATAAATAACCTGTCCTTAAGTACTCTCACAGTGCAGCACAGGTGTGGTACCCTCTGACTGCCACATGAGAGGGTGTTGTGGATGCAGGAGCAAAAAGGACAGGCTTGTGGAGCAAACTCAGCACAGGATGTTGGAGCAAACGCAGCACAGGATGTCTTTGTTTTTCTGGCTATTAAATTCCCAAAAGTAATACAGTGTTCATTTAAGAGGTGGATATGATTTTCCCCAGGTGGCAGCACCAGGTAATAAAGAGAGAGACATACAGTTCCATCGTTCTGCCCAGCTACTCTGGGTGTGTTTAAAGAAGCTTTTAAGAGATGAAAGGAGTAGGGAATGGGCAGAGTGTGCTCCCTGCTAAGCACAAACAGAGGACAGCGATTTGATTGAGCTAGGAAGGAATTATTTGTACCCAAACCAAAAAGAGATGTAGGAATAGTTGTGAAAATCCATTTCTTTTGGAGATTCGTGTTAGTGTGTTCTGCCTTACACTGGTGTAGATGGAAGGGAAAAGCTTAACCTTTAGATACTTGTCAGAAAGAGGGGGAAGAATTGCCTGTAGTGCCCCTGAATTGAATTATAATTCAGGCAGTGAGTTAGAACAGAGACCACCTGCTTGAATTGACGGGAACAAGTTTCTTGTCTAGCGTTACATTGAATTTCTCTTTCAGCATTTTCTCAATTTCTTCATCTGCAAGCATTCTGACTTCCACAAGGTCCATATTGTCCCTATAATTGAACTTCATCTCAGTGAGTTTCCACCCCACCAGTGCCCGGACGCCGTCGACAGTCTGCAGGCTGCACAGGGACTTGGTCGTGAAGAGCGAGTCGGGCGCTGTCTGCAGGAGGGCATTGCAGCCTCTGAACTCTTCAATGTCTCGTGGCTGAAGGGTAAAGAGGTAAATCCGGCGGCAAGCTTCACCTTCCACTCTATGGGAAGCGGAGGCATCTTGGTTGGGAACCAACTCCTTCCTTTTCACCTTCTCGAGGTACCAGGTCCCCCCCTCCTCCAGGAAGCGAAAGACCCCAGGAGTCTGCGGCTGATCTGTCCCTGAAATCAGCTCCATTGGCTGCCACATCTGGTAGGCCATCCCAAACCCCCCGTCCACGATGTAGGATTTGCCATCAAGCACCACTTTCAGGAGAAGATGATCGATTTCCTCTGCGTAGGTGCCGTGCTCCGGGACGTAAACGTTGGCTCCCAGAAGGGTGATGTCATAGCCAAGAGTTTTCAGGACCCAAGACAAAAGGTTATTGTTCTCCATGCACCAGCCCCCACGTTTCTTCCTCACTATCTTGTTGTAGGTTGCTTCCAGGTCCAGCTCAATCCTTTCC